AAATAAATAAATAAATAAATAAATTCTGAGCAAAGTTGTGTGTTGTATGGGAATAAATAAATAAATAAATTGTGGGTATCTATCAGTAGAAGCAGGGCTTGGCTCAGCACTGAGTTACAATAATGACTAGTCTGTCCCCTTTGATCCTTCACTTTTCTCCCTCTCTTCAGCCAGGTCCTCCCCTGGAGTCAACTTTCCACCAAAGCTTGGAGACAGATGTAAGTTCTCACTGATCCAGTCCTTGCTGAGTTCCAGAGTTGGGGAGAGAATGTTCTAGAAGGTGGGAGGCCTGGGCAGAGGAAGACCCAGATCTGCACCATAAGCAGCTGCCGCTCTCCTTTCTCCAGACGCTGCTGACCAAGTTGTGCGGCCAGGACCGGCTCCTGCGGAGGCTGCAGGAGGAGATAGACCAGAGGCAGGAGGAGAAGGTGCGGGTCCCTGAGCCAGGGACGGGGAGCCTGCCCTCTCCGCCTGCCCTGACTCTGGAGGTCAGGATGCTGACTGGACGTCCAGGATGTGAGAGGACACTTTTTTTTTTTTGGGACAGAGTCTCAAGCTGTCACCCATGCTGAAGTGCAGTGGTGTGATCTCGGCTCACTGCAACCTCCACCTGCCTGATTCAAGTAGTTCTCCTGCCTCAGCCTCCTGAGTAGCTGGGATTACAGGCACGCGCCACCATGCCCAGCTAATTTTCATGTTTTTAGTAGAAACGGGTTTCACCATGTTGACCAGGCTGGTCTCGATCTCCTTACCTTGTGATCTGCCCGCCTCGACCTCCCAAATTCTGGGATCACAGGCATGAGCCACGGCGCCCAGCCAAGAGGACACCTCCTCTTTCTTCCCGGGGCTGGGCCTGGCTTTCGAAGTCTAATCATCTTCTCTCTTGGTGCAGGAGCAGCTAGAAGCAGCCCTGGAGTTGACCCGGCAGCAGCTAGGCCAAGCCACCAGGGAGGCTGGGGCTCCCGGGAGGACCTGGGGCCGCCAGCGCCTCCTGCAAGACAGGCTGGTCAGTGTGAGGGCTGCCCTCTGTCACCTGACTCAGGTGAGCACCTGGGAAGGGGCCCGTCTGCCTAGGAGGCCCCAGGACTATGCAAGTGTTACAAAGAGGACCTGCCACAGAGGCCTCATAGGAAGATAGTTCTTCAGAAGTCCACCACTCCAAATTTTATTTTATTATTTTTTCTCTCTCCTTATTGTCTTGTAACTGTTCCAATTTTTTTCTTTTTGAGACGGAGTCTCACTCTGTTGCCCAGACAGAAGTGCAGTGACACAATCTTGGTTAACTGTAACTTCCGCCTCCTGAGTCCTAGTTCAGGCAATTCTCCTGCCTCAGCCTCCCAAGTAGCTGGGATTACAGGCATGCGCCACCATGCCCAGCTAATTTTTGTATTTTTAGTAGAGACGGGGTTTCACCATGTT